AGGTGCCTTATATCTTTGGCATAATGGGGTATCATCTTCCAACGATATGTTCAGATTGAGAATGGCTGGTCTGCCTGCATATTCTCAAATCAAGACGTTGCTGCACGAGCGACCAGAGGCTATTCTCCTTGATCTCGGTTGCTGCTGTATGGGTGTTTCGGCAACACAATTATCCCAAAGCTGATGAATGTAGTCGGGACCGATATCAGAAAGATGGCTGCCGACGGATTCCCCGTCCAAAATTTGGTTGCCTGTGACTTGTACCGAGGTATGTTCACTAAGCTAAGATGAGATAGACACCCTCCTTACTTCTCACAGAGTTCTGGGATTTGGGCCATGAATTATTCAGATCCACGCCCGAGACATTCCCAGTCGCATTTCTTGCAGGCGACGTACTTGATCGCGGTTTTCTTGCTCGAGCTGAGCCACAACCAACTGCGACCTCCACCGCGCCATCCCCACCCCTGTCAACCATAAGGTCCTTGATTGATCTCAGTGGCCACATCTCCATCCTGCACACCTCCTACCTTTTCCATATGTTCGATGAACAGGAGCAGACTGATCTCGTACGTTCGATCGCGGGACTTCTCTCCCCGCTTCCCGGATCCATGATTTTTGGATCCCAAGTGGGAAGCAAAACCACGAGCTATCGTCCTAGGCCACCGCGCTATACCGGTGACCGGGCGCCGATATTTGCTCCTTCGCCTGAGTCCTGGACCGCGATATGGGAGGATATCTTTCCGAAAGGAGCTGTCCACATCGAAGCTACCTTGAGGGAACGCGAAGACTGTCATCCATGGGAACTACTTGCTCCGGTACCTGGGTTAGACGATGGGGTCTTGACATGGTCAATTACTCGGTTGTAGTGGATTAGAGAGTTTTGAAACTCTCAACCATCTATTTAAATCTCATTTTATGAGCCTGACTATGAGGCTTCCATGAACGCCCCAACGCGATAAACTTTGAGATACAGAAGCGGCAGGAGAACGGCTACGGAAGCGCTGGTTCCACGGATAATCGGACACACAGCACAGTATCATATCAGCGCCACGGGTCATCGGGGAAAATTGGAATTCAGCGCACCTACGACGTCGCCCAATGGCTCACAGGCAGAACGCGTGGAGCCGAGGAAGGAAAGATGCACCAGAGAGGACGCAGTAGGCACCCTAAGACAATAGACGGGATTCCGGCTCATGCAGGAGCGCGAACGGCCAAGAAACAACCATGTGGCATGCTGTGAATATGCCAGCAAAAATGAGAGGGGCATGCACGCATTCTTGCCATCAGGTACTGGGAAATATGAGAGCGGCGGAACTAGTGTGGAACAAGCGCTAGCAAGAGAGGCCGACGAATCCCAGTGCGTTTTGTAGACTTGAATGCGACGCGTTGTGTCGGCTGATGCCGAGATGATGGACAGAGATGCCGCACTTTTTGATCTTCCTATTGTAAGGCTCGAGGAGCGCTTACAACCGGCAAAACGTCGTACGCTTGCCCAGGCGGGGATCGAGCGTTATTGAGTGGTGGACCACTGACTATACTCTTCAAGAGACTACCAAGAGCCGGATATTCCGTGCTCCCGTATGGTAGGCTCCTTAGAACTCCGGATATTCGTGAGATCTGAGCAGACTGTAGGCCGTAATGACCTGTCGTGATAAGGACGTAAGTGTGACGTGAAAAGAATAGATGTAGTAGCAGAGAGTCGCCTAGTGCCTAGTGTGTGTGCCAGGCAAGGCAATATAAGAGCTTGTGCCTCTATCAGGGCCTCAAAAGACGGCTGGTGAGGCACTTTAAGCGTGTTGGTGTAGTCCTATACTTGAAAAGACAATTGACAGATTATCACGTGTGGCACGCGATAAAGTCACGCACATTGCACGTGTTTGTCCCACGGCTCGGAATTTACTGCGAGTGTTAGCGAGCGGCAGTATGGCGCCGGAGGGCTCAGAATTCGCCATGTCTGTACGGAACTGGGAATCCACCGTGTCTGACCGCCCGTGGCGAATACACGGATGCCTAAATCTAGTTCGAGATAAATGGGGCGGGGTGGGTTGTAAATTTGGTGTTTAAGGGCAAGGTGTTTTGGGAAATGGTGTTGGGAACGTACTTAAATACAAGAATCGTAACTAGACGTCATGGTGGTGTACGAAACGTCAGATGATGGTCTAACACACGACTGAGTGGTGTGTTGCGGGGCTCGAAGTTCAAAGTGGTGTTTTATATCGTGACGTCATTACAATATGACTGCATTCAAATCCCAAACAGCTGCAAAGCTGTGTACTCCCGACCGAGAAGAGACCTTGTTCATTTCAATCTAATACTTGTGGTTTGTGATAAGAGATGATGATGATCCTATGATGACTATACATGTGATTGGTAGCTAAAGATTAACTAAAATACGTATATGATCCCTTACACACACGCAAGATCTAGAACATGCAATAACAGGGGCTTCTCATGATTTTGGGACAACTTCGAGCAGACGGAGATTATTTTGTGAGTTTGGTCACCCATCTCACACAGGCAAGGTCCATGGCACGCAGTCAAATGACTCTGCACCTTTTGCCAACATCCCATGCAATTGTCTCTGACCGAGGGCTTTCAGTGAACACCATCAGCCATCGTGGAACCTATCCTTGCTCAAGAGCAACACCCATAGCTGCAGGTCCACCGGTATCTTGGGGAGAGGCTCCATCTCCGTCACCTCCATGTCGATAAATATAATTCGAAGCGTAATATGGAGGAAGATTAGACTATCGAGGTGATGTGGCCATTCATGGTATAAGAGTCCCTCATCATGCCACAAAAGGACTCTTATTCAATGTACAGTTCTATCTTCAAGTTTACTGCTCCTATCCCGCTCAGCGCCGCGGCCCTCGTTGACAACGAGTGAATGCCTTTGTACTACAAGAGACCCTGGCAAACAGCGGGCTGTGACGAGCCCGTGCCCGATCTTGACACTCACTGTGTTCAAGGGGCTCCTAGACTCAGTTTGTGAAGATGTGTGTAGGTCTGGCAAGGTAAGTGTCTGAATCTAGGCGTGTCCAGATGCGTCTAGGGCTCTGTGTAGCCGCCTACACTCACCTTTACAAACCCTACACACACCTTTGGAAACTGAGTTTAGGTCCACATCACCCTCTTTATAAAATAAAGCACTCTGTCCAAAGCTTTACCTCCGTGTGGCAAGACTTTGGATTCAACGTTCAACTTTGGCATCTCCCTGCAGTTTGCAGTCTGCACACAGTCCGCATTTTGCAATTGTACTTCGCAGTCTGCATGATGTTCGCAGTCTGCAGTTCGTGAACCAACCTGATCAAATGTACTGTACATAATAAATTGAACAAACAAATTGTTAGGACCTTGAGTGCATAGCTGGCAGACTCATGTGAAACTTGTTTATGTAATACTGGGGTTTTTCATTCAAATTGACAGGGGGTGTGATGTGTGACCCAATTTACCTATTTGAAATTTTGACAGTGGCTGAATTTTTGCACGACACTCCCCAAAATTTCGACAATCTCAGGGATATTTTGACCTTTTTTGTGCTCCTGGGGAGGGGGGGGGGGGGGGAGGATTGCTGTATGAAAATGCTCCTGCCCTGCTGCTCACTCAGAGTCTCAGAGTGTTTTGCTCAGCCATTCATACAGTCCTTGGCCTATTTTTCCACAGCCCACAAGATCTCCCCAACCTTTCGTTAAAACACTTGACCCATGGACTGGCTAGTATTAACCTGTGGATGTTTCTTTCCCTCAAATGCGAGCATTCCTCAGACCATTTCCCATTCTCATCAGCATTCTGGGTCCCTATACTGTACTTTTCTACAGTGTTGTATTTACAGCTTGAATCATCAGGGAAAACCTCCTTGGGAATTTTCCGATATTTTTGCTCAAATATCTTTCACCAAAAAACTTTTGGAAACTTCAGGTATTTTGAACAATTTCCATGAAATGTTGCACAGAATGACTGAGAATTATATGTCATAGTAAGAAATTCCATACTTTATGCAACTTTGTTGCAACTATAAAGCAGAAACTCACCCCTTTGAAGAACTTCCGCTGCACCATATATTACACACACAAGATGCCCAAAACAAAAAAAACAAAAAAAACAAAAAAAAAATGACCTCCAGGGCTCAACATTGCATCAGGAAACTTTACTCCAGAGCCCCAAACAATGTTTACCTGCCCCTGGTAACTTGATGCTTGATTTGAGACCCTAAGTCATTCAGAGTCCGACATCAATCAATCCATCAGACACACTGTTACACAACCCTCGGCCAAACATCTTTGACATGGCACAACAGAAGACATTGGATGGACATCTTTCTTCCTTTCCCCCCACCATGTCCCTCAACCACCCGCCATTCCATATTCTCCGACTCTCCCAACTCCCGACGTGAATGCCCTCCATGTAATCATCGGACCACAGACTGGCCCTCCATTCTAGCCCAATGTGTGGCCACACCGAGACTCTAGGAGTCGGCTATGTGAATCAAACCTCACAAGCCTTTCCTCATTCTCAGCACTGTTCCCTCTTCCTCCAACTCCTTCCCTCTCCACCTTCGTCCCCCACACCAACCGGGTGTCAAGAGTGTTGACTTTCTCCAATGGCCACAATTGCCCGCAAATCTCATGCCTTCAAGATCTGTGTCAATCTGCTGACATTAAGACTCCTGGAGTCAGTGCCAAGCTTTTCCTCGCTGTCAGTACTGTTCCCCTCCCCCCAACTCCATCCTTTTCCACTTTCGTCTCCTATGCCACAACAGTTGCAGCAGCTGTGATTAAATTTTGCCACAAAATTATATATTATGAAAATTAATTTTCTACACAAATTGCTATGAACTTCTCAGCTACCCAAATAGGGTCCTAAGAGTAATCTTAGCCTTAGAAGAAGATTAAATCATGAAAATTAAATTTCTACACTTAACTTCTCAGCTACCCAAACGGGTTCCCAAGATTAATCCTCGACTTAGAAAATTAAATCTGATAAAACTAAATCATAAAAAGTGCCCACAACAGGATTTGAACAAGGGACATTATGATAATGCTCACAAAAAAGTGTAATCAAAGCACAAGTTATTACCACTAGACCATAAGGCCCATACTCAACACAAAGCAAGGATGATTTAATCTGTGCGAAAATTCAATCTAGAGTTCCTGAATTTTGCATTTTGAGCCTATTTCAGCCATAAAATCTCAATGGCACTGTGACCAGTGGTGCGGTTCAGTGGGCTGCATCATGTGTCACCTGAAAACTCGGTCAAAATAATACAGTAGTGCAATCACACATATTCTCTACAACAAGCACAACATGGAACAGACTTAGACATTTTTCCTTTTTCTTTTCCAGGGTGCTTGATATGTACAAAATGTGAATGCACTTGATTGTATGTTGCTTGGTGTAGTGGTAATAACCTACACTTTCCTGTGCATTATCATAATGTTCCTTGTTCAAATCCTGTTGTGGGCACTTTTTATGATTCAGTTTTATCGGATTTAATCTTCTAAATCTAAACTTAATCTTAGGACCCCACTTGTGTAGCTGAGAAGTTCATAGCAATTTGTGTAGAAAATCAATCTTCATGATGTACAATTTTGTGGCAAAATTTAATCACATCTACTCATATCACTGTATGCCAAGGCTGTCCACCTTTCTCCAACAGCCACAATTGCCTGTGCCCACAACTGCCTGTGAATCTCGTGCCTTCAACCACTTCCCACGCCTTCAAGATCTGTGTCAATCTGCTGACCTGGCCACCACCCTCGAGCTGCAAGTCATTAAGTTTCAATTGATCATGAACCGTGACCTGCACAACATTGCTGTTACTCTGCCTCCTCACATCCTCAATTCAATATCCCTCAACCCAGGCTCCTGTTCCTCTGGCTTCGAAATTCTTCAAGCTACCCCATCAAGAGTTTTTCTACTTTTCAGAATTCGAACACTCGCTGCTACGACTCAAGATACCATGATGAAGACTGGATGTCGGCGGCATCCCGTAACATCTATATCTTCAAGACGTAGCATACATGTTTATTTTAGATGTATGCAGATTTGAATGACATTGTTTTATTCTCTTCTTCATACGTGCTTTGCCCTTCTGAGTCACTGGTTCCCTAACTATCAGAAAGTGAGCGACCGTTGAAGTATTTTGACCAACTTAGAGGTATTTTCGCCGGGGGTAACATATTCTGGAACAATTCCCATATTCAAGAAACTGAAGATATTTTGAACTATTTTCAACAAAAATGTGCCAAAATTTCTTGGGGGGGTTTCCCTGATGGGTATCTCTTTTTCTGATCTCCCAGGTCCACGTTGCGACATCGCCGGAGCGAAGCGGTGGCATGTCTTGTTATTTTATAAAGAGAAAGACATGGGATTATTAGGTGTGTTGGAAGCGCTGGCCATGGCAGTGGTGAGAAGCGAAGTCTCCATGGGAGCTGGTTTTCGGGTCACGTGGCATGGTGGTGAGAGGTCACGAGGCCCCTCTCCATCTGGTGCTTAAATGACTTCCATCTCTTGCCTCTGCTAACCGAGATGGACCCTGACCGAGAGTTAGAAGCCGGGCTCCGAGCTCTGCAATCTTCAAGAGGTGGGTCCCGGCATTCCCAGAAGAAGAATCCTCACCCACTCTGCCTCCGTTGACAGGCTCCATGCTACGTCGCTTCTGGTCTACTGTATGTCAAGTGCTCGCACCTCCGGGCCGTGGCATGACCAAGGCGGAAAATGCACCTTCCCATTCCACAAACTCCGATCCACGTAGGCCTGAGGATTTTGGCGGTATCTTTGTCAGTCTAATGCCTGATTCGGGGAAAGGATTCAAAGGAAATTACAGTAAAGCCGAAAACGAAGAGGCCTGTGAAAAAATGTGGTATATCTATGTTGGAGAGGCCGAGAGATATGATACAGCTTTGGTGAACAGCTGGAAGGCAGACATGAAAGGAATGCTCATTTTCGTATGCATATTTCCCCTATTGCCTCGAATCATGCTGACACAGTGTAGTCTGGTCTCTTCTCTGCAAGCCTCACATCCTTCCTTATCGAAAGCTACAAGACGCTGCAGCCGGATTCTGGAATTCTCACAGTGGCTGCTATATCGCAGGTCTCGCAGCAGCTTGCCGCGATTTCGAACAGCCGAACCTTTGTACCCCCGACGCAAGCACCGTTCACTCCCTCGACTGAATCACTCGTCTGCAATGCACTGTGGTTTATAAGTCTATCGCTCAGCCTCACATGTGCACTACTGGCGACTTTGGTAGAGCAATGGGCACAAGAATTCCTGCACAAGACGGAAATGCGTCCCTCCACAGTTTGTCGTGCGAGGATTTTCTCCTACCTCTATTTTGGTTTGAAACGATTCCGGATGCACACCACCGTGGATGCAATCCCCTTCCTCCTGCACGCCTCCCTCCTCCTTTTCTTTGCAGGGCTCGTCACATTCCTCCGACCGGTCAATCATATCATGATGTACCTGATATGTATAGCACTTTCCTCCTCTATGGCATCCTCACATTGCGTCCGGTCATCCAGCTGGACTGTCCGTATCGCACACCCTTGACCGTCCCATTGTTGTCTCTGTTATCAAATCATTTCAGCTTCTTCGACTCACGCGAGCTTTCATCCCAGCGCACAATAACCGAATCTGTATTCGATTCCGCCCTGCAGGATACTCACGACCGGGATCAACAAGCACTCAAGTGGACACTGGGCTCCCTCACCGACGACGTCGAGCTCCTCCCATTTGTTGAAGCCATTCCTGACATTATATTTGGCCCGAATGGTTTCCGCTGTGTCAACGACAAATTGTTTGTCCCTATCCTCGGTGATACCGAGGTGGCGAGTCCACTAGTGATAAGAATATGCAATCTCATTGCCAGTGCCCAAGGGATGTTCCCAGACGATCCCCTTGTTGCTCGCCGATGTATCGCTGGCCAGAAGGCCCTGTGGGCTTTGTGCATGATACCATGCTCATGGGAGCGACGTTTGGACATTGACCATATAGTCCTAGGACCTAACTGTTGGGGAGGTCTCTCTGCAACAGCTACCCTAGCCATCCAGTATCACGCTCAACGATGGTCTCACCACCTCGTTGAAATGCTCCGTGATCTGTTGGTGTCCAATCGCGACCATTCATCCGCAGATTTCCAGAGCGAAGTCCTTCCGACGGTTCTTTGACTCTTGGGATTGGCTATTGAACATGATGATATCTTTACCTCCCATGTTTCCGGGATCTTTGAAATGGGCCAGGCACCCCTAAACACGTGCGCGGGTCCTTTTGTAGAACTCAAGAAGCTGTGCAGCGAAATTGGGAATTTATTACCAACCGCTTTACAGCTTGACAGGGCTCAGGGGATTGTTGTTGCCTTGCATGATTCCCATAGCTGGGCAGCCAACAGCATCGGCCCGATTGGAAGCTTCCTTGATGGTGGCCTGACTTTCCTTCATGAAGATTCTGATCCTCTGTTTGAGCCGCTGACCACTTGCGGCGCAATGCTGTCCGAAATCTTGTCAAGTCCACCTACACGAGGCATTCACCCTATGGCACTCAGGTTTCCAACCGCGCTACATAAACTCGAGTTTAGGTTGCATGCCCCAAGTCAAGTTGACATTGTGGCACGAATTGCTTTCCGTTTATATCCCTTATCGTTGTCAAACGACACAAAGCATCAATATTGGTCATACCTGGTTCAGCGAAGGAATCAAGATGCAGTTTCCTTTGCCCTCCGGGATTGTGCTTTGTCCGACTTGGCACAGTCACTCGGCGACTCTCTTTCATGCGAGATTAATCACGAGGATAGGGACCAATGGGTTGATAATGTCATCCACATCATCACGGTAATTGCAACTGTGTTCAACCCCATTCATTGGTGATTGAGTTTGTGGATGCAGTATTAGCAGGAAGACCGCCAGGTCTGATCCCCCAACATTCTGCAATCAGGGTAGTCAGATATCTCTGACGTCTACAGCAGCTTGACTCGGAGATTGGAGAGACGCATTTCCTCCCACCGGAGTCCGTTAGATTTCGTCTCCAGGAAATCTGTAACGATGAACTCCTGGGGTCCCTTCATCCTCTATTCCTACCACAGGACGTTCATGTCCATTTGGTGATTATGAACTTGCAGATCTACTTTTTCGACCTACACTATATATCTAGGGCTGAAATCTGAATTCAGATGTTTGCTGTGCGGTCCGGAGAGAACAGAGTGGCAAATTTGAGAGCTAGGTCTGACCTTTTTGAGCATGTCTTACATACAAGGTTTTTTGATCCAATCATTTCCTGTCTAGGAAAACGCAAAATACTCGAAATTATGCAATACTGTGGATTTCGAATTTTTCCCACGCTTGAACTGTACAGCCACCCCACTCTCTCTGTACTGCATAGCAAGGATCTGAAATCAGATCTCAGCCCCAGATATAAATATAGATATATTTTGTCCATTGCAATCACTGTCCAGATGGGAAGGGACGGGTAGACTCCTGTGAGGCTCTGTGGCCCTTCGGGCAGACAGAGAGGCTCAGAGGGCTAGCGGCCAGCTTCGACATTGGAGGCGATGGTGGTAGACAATCAAGATGGCGCACGACAACAACGATCACGAAAAGAAAGCACAGCTGCGGGGGCACTCCCAAGCCTCTAGGGACACTTCTGTGAGTGTGCAGGGTGGGTAATGTGGCCACGCAGGGTGTTTCAAAAATCAATGATGAGGGTCGGATCCAAGAGGCCAAACCAAGGGCAGTTTGGGGACAGATATCTCGCATATCTAGTGGATGTCTAGTCCCTTGCAGGGAGTTGAGAGGTGAAACGCAGCAAATCCATCAAGAATTGAGCTAGATGCCTCTCCTTTAATCCAGATGACGAGAAAATCTTTCGTTCTGCATTGAGGTGTATTACGCCGACGACACGCACAATAAGGAGCTCACAGGAATAACATTGGCCACGATGAAGCAGATGGATGTCAAATGAAGGACCCGGAGAGATCTAGAGGACGCCAAATCTCGGGTTGGACGGTGACTAGATCCATGTTTTAGGACTCTGATGGTTAACGCACACTGCGCAGCCAGTAAGGCCATTCTGCCATACTGGAAATCGCCGCCGTGAGGTGCA